GCTCTTTTTTTACAATAATCTTGGAGTTACCATTTTCTGGCAACTCTAATAGGTCAACAGCCACTTTTGTAAGTGTAATCCAAGCATGATTGCATCTCGTTACTTTGAGTTATTACTGGTTTTCCTCTGAGACAGAGACACACCAAATCATGTTTCAGTTTTATCCTGGTTTCAGAGATAGGAAAAATGAATTTATGATGATAATAATAATAATGGATACTTTATTGATCCCCATGGGGAAATTACTTGTTTTTTCTCTGCATTTGACCCATTCACTCAGTGAAGCAGTGGGCAGCCCACTAAGCAGGCGCCCGGGGAGCAGTGTGTAGGGACGGTACCTTGCTCAGGGGTACCTCAGGGTAGCCGTTAAGTGGATTCGAACCGCCGACCTTCCGATCATGGGGCGACCACTTTACCTACTGAGCTATCCCTGCTCTTTCCCGTGAACTGTTTCCAGACATAATGCTGTTCTTCCACTAACTAAAAATAAATTAGAGACTAAGTTTGTACTTGTACACATTTAAACAGTCTTTTAATATTTTGACCAGCATTAAATCGTTTACCAACACAAAAGTGAAGTAAACACCACCGTAGGTATGATTTAAATGTGTTTTATTGGAGCACACACAAGAAACACTGCAGCTAAATACAATTTCAAAGTCATGTGCATCTATTTTTAATTGTTTTTTTTTACCAAAAATCCACTGAAATTTGTTAATGTGCTGGATCTATAGACATGTGTATTTGCCTTTAAGCGCACATACACTGTATCACCTTGCTGCAGCTGCAGGAACACTGCATTTCCTCCATTATCAGCCGTGTCAGCTGACTGGTGATCATGGATGTGCAGTATCACCTCATTGTTCTTGTACAAATGCAGCGATGTTTTACGGACACCTCCAGAATGACAGAAATAGGTAAAAAAGTACACACCAGAAACAGGTGCTGTGAAGATACCTGGTGAAAAAAAAAAACGAGTAAACTCCTTTAATTTTTTGTCATTTTCTGAAGAAGCAGGTTTTACACGTGCAGATTCAGGAAACACCTCAGTTAAACATTTATAATATCTTTAAATCTGTTTTCTTTTTCAGAATCTGCAAATGTGAAACTAAATTTCTTATTACTGACCACAAACATGCAAAACCACACAATGCATTTTTCTTTTTTGTCTTTATTTACTTCACTTACACAAACATCAAGAAGAATCTTACCTGTGAGTTCGTTGTAGGCATTTCCAGTGTTTACAAACACTCTATCGTAGATTATAGTTTGGTCTGTGTCAAAGGGACCCAATGGTGAACCTCCCCCAATTCCAGCACTTAGCCCTTTAAGACCTACCATAGAACCAAGTCCGCCAGAGCGGACATGGTGTGGTGCCATTTTTGGGAGCATTTCAAGTCGCTATACATCAATACAACCATTACAGCCTAAATTTTAATAATATGTATGCATTAGGTGCATGGTAATTACATAAATTGCAAAAAGTGCAATAAACTACAAAAAAAATGAAAATCATTTTTGTTTTTATAACATATATTTCTAGTTAGAGAAATTTAAGAGGTTTATCCCTCAAAACTGTAAATACAAAAAGGTTGCACAAAATAGTTTCCCACCACAGGAAATTTATTTTGAATGTCTTCATAGTTTTATTTCTGAAATACACCAATTTTTATATACTGTAAGAAAAACGAAAATAAATATAATAATGCAAATTTGCAAAAAAAGCAGCATATGCATCAAAATAAACAATTTCCAGCAGTGCAATTTAAGTTCTAAGCATCCCAGAAACGACACAGAAACTCATAAAGATACCTTTTAAAAACACCAGTATAGGCTCATGAGGCCCCGATGGTAAAAAACTACATTTCTACGAAAATTACGTCACTTTCAGCTTCGGACAGGTAATGGCGGACATGCAAAAATTCGCGCTGACGTCTATTCCAAAGTAGGAAGTGTTATGAACAGCTGATCGGATCGGCAAAGAGTGTTTCTGGAATATTATGTTTTTGTTGCTGCAAGCGCTTTTTATGCAGTTTTTGCAAAGCTATATGTGGAAGGAAACCGTGACCTAGGACAAGCTGATGGCATAAGATGTAAGTACAACTTCTCCGGTTTCATATGCAAAAATAATTATTGCGCTAGCTTACATGGTTGCAGTGGTACCAGGATTTAAAAGTAGTTGCACAAAACGGAGCGTGCCCGCTCCGACCGGCTTTAAAGGGTTAATATGACAATGTTTCTCTCTAGGGAAAAAAAGAAAAGCTTATTTCAGACTAAAAGTGTAAAAATGTTAAAGTATGACTCTTCACACCATTTTTTTTCTAAACATCACAAAAATACACTTCTGCTTGAGTTTTGTTCTTTACCCTTTTGTTCCAGCTGCAGAATGAGACTTCCGTAGCCTGTCAGCCTGTTTTCAATGTTCATCACCTTGATTTCCAAAGAATGTATTTTTTCTCTCATTGCACCAAACTCGTTGGCGTTATTACATGTGTGAACGCATGAATGTGATTGTGTTTCGATAGTATCCTGGGCCAAAATCAGACCACAAAACAACAAAATCAACAATAAACTGCTGAGATTCATCGTCCAAATGATCCATTTTCACCACTCGACACAATTCTGACGAATGATCTGCATTGGTTTTTATATGTCATCTCATGATCAGCTATTAATTATTAACATCTAGACGTGTACTTTTTAAAAAAAACATTTTTCTAAGTATTTGTTATTTAACTATGTCAACTAAGATCAATGAAAGAAATCTATGAAGAAAGAGTGACATGTTTACTAATAAAAGCATGGACTATTATAATTATAACATGAACCATTGCTGTTACTTTAAATAGACATACACTTTCTTTTAAGTATCATCAGCTTTATTTCACATTGACCTCTGCTACACTGTAACCTACACTGTTCTTTACTTTAAATCCAACACAGCACAGCAGTGCTCTCATTAAACCTTTACATGACAAGGTTGGTTTGCCTTAGTTTGTTTTGCAGCACATTTCATAATATGAAAAAACATGTGAAATGTACTGTCCCAAGGTCTGATTTTAAAACTTGTAAGACGACACACAGCCTGGACGACTTCTTCCACAAATAGGCCAAAGATCATCAGACATTCTGACCACTGAAGACAAATCATATGTAGTCTGTACATATGTGTGTGTGTGTGTGTGTGTGTGTGTGTGTGTGTGTGTGTGTGTGTGTGTTCATAGTTAAAACATCGTAGCTCTGAGACACAACAGTCTGGTTCTTCTGATCTCTGTATTTCAGGTCACAGAAGTGAGAAATAAACAATAAAATGGCAAAATTGAACTTTGTAAACTTGATTTTGTGTTACTCACTGCCCTCATCCGTTATTATTAATAATTCACATGGCTGCATTTATGTTATTCATGATCAACTGTTAATTATTAACATCCCTTTCAACTTATGAAACTACATTATGTGCAGCAGAGCAGAATTTTGAACCATTTCAACATAACACCATACAATTACACAAAGCCAAAAATGAAAGCATATGGATTTCAGCAGACAAGAATCAAATCAGTTATTGCATAAATGTAATTTGGGTTGCCATGTTGTCAAGAGTGAACTAACTAACTAACTAAATTATGTCTTACAACAACTGAGTAAAACTTTAGATTTAATAATTAAAAATATAATTGGTACCCTTCAGTCATATAAATTATCTCCCTTCTGCAGAAATTCAGTTTCTGTGTCAGAGTCTTCTATCATGATCAGTGACCATGAACTTTAAGTTATATCAACAAACTTTTACTATAACAAAGAGCAAGCACAGTATTTTAGCAGCCAAAACAAACAGCTGAAATGTAAACCATCTACTAGACACGATTCCAGTGGGTTATACTGGTGGTGAAACAGCTTAAACAGAGACCATTTTTTTCTACTTAGAGAAAAATGTTCTGTTTGTTGTTTAGGGTTGTTATAATACAAGTAGTTATTTACAATTTTTGTTACTTAATACCATTTGTCATCTTATGTTCTTTTTTAGATTAACTATTGATAATGTGGTGTAATCATTATTATTTTTTAAACAGGATGCCAATAAAGAAGTGTCTAAAGATAAAATTATAAATTGGTTCTTTGTTGTAATATTAGATGTTAGTGTGAATTGTATGAAGCCTCCCATAATCTTTAAATGATCTCCATAGTACTGAAAGTTACAAAGCGGGCACCAAAGATTTCATCTGTTTTTGGTATGTGTCCACCAGGGGTGGGGGAACGCCAGTTCTCAAAGGTCACTGTCCTCCAGGTTTTAGATGCGTCTTTGAGCCAACACAGTTGATTTTAAATGGCTGAATAATCTCCTCAACATGTCTCGAAGTTCTCCAGGTAATGAACTAATCGTCTGATTCAGGTGTGCTGACCCAGGGTGAGATCCAAAACCTGCAGGACACCGGCCCATGAGGCCTGGAGTTCCCCACCCCTGGTGTAGACACTACACTGATTCATCCTTTGAATTTGGTACTTTTTTATGCCTATAATGGCAAATGGACAAAATATAACTTTATATAATATAATATATATATATATATATATAATATATATATATATATATAATATATAATATATATATATAATATATAATATAATATATAATATAACACGTTTTAAGGAACTGAAGAAGTCACTTTGATCATGAGAAATCATTCTTTCCATAATTTGTAGCTATTATTTCTCTAACGTTGCTCTGCTTTTTTTTTTTTGCTTTTTTTTTTAAAGAAGATACGTCATCTATCAATAATCAGCCTTTGGTCTGTAGCACAAACATTCCTTCCAATTTAAAGACAAACAAATCCCCCCCCCCAATTAGAAAAAGAAACAAAACAAAACATCTGGGAAACACTGCCACAACTAAAACTTGGATGAGCAGCATTTATATACATATTTTTAAATATGTCCTTTAAAGCTAGTCTTAATGTCTTTTGTCTTATATACGTCTGCCTTCCCTTGGACTGTTCTGATTGGCTGTCGTTTAGGGAGGCTATTTGGTTGTGAGGTTATAAAAGAGGAAAAAAGAAATGGACTTTTAACCGACTACACCTCCACTTCATTTCCCCAACACCACATCAAAGAAAGGTAAGCCAACTGTTCTGTCTCTTATTCTGTTGCTCTACATATTCATTTAATGTTGTTTATGATTTGTCTGTCTGTGCGAGTGTGAAATAATTTTTTTTTTTTTCTAAATGTGTGTCGTCATTAGGAACAGTTGGAAGTGCTGTCATACTTTACAAGAATAATAAAAAGCAAATATGGAAAAGGAAAAATGACTGACTCAGTTATTACAAAAGTTCAGTTTTCATCAGCCCTGCGTGTTTGTCTCAATATACAAATAATAATGATAATATCAGATGTCTATGGTAACAGAATAACACAAACTAGTACTGCTGTTCATCATCCCAGCTAAATTGATTTTAAACACATTACTCGGTCAATGTTGTTTTCTTTCTTTCACTGTAGACAAAATGAACTTTGCTGTCTTGACTGCCATGGTCACTGTAGCCCTTGTCCATCTGGGCACTACGAACTCTTTACCTTGTCAAGGCACAAGCCTCCAAAGTAAATATGACGAATTTATCAGAAGACACATCCTTCAAGATGAATTTAACCGAAGTCTTCCAAGAGAGTGGGAGAAGTGAGTTAAAAATTAATAGTTCCCTCCTTGTAAGGAGCAAATTAATATAATATGGAGACAGCTAAAAAAAAAATAACGTGATGATGATGATTATTATTATTTTTGTTGTCATCAAGAGGATAACTGATTTGCGATTTAACTAGGTCACGTGAAGATGTTTAATGAGTAATGTGTAATGTATCTTGCTTACTGTGAAATGGAATACTGATTTAACAGATATTTGAAAAAGAAAGACCTCTGGTGCAGAACTCCAGTGCAGTCCTTCATCGAGAGCAGAGATCGGGGGAATATCGATAGGATCTGCAGCCGAAATGGTCGACGTCTAATTAATGCCTTCCCAGATAACTTGTGTATCAGTAGTTCAAACATACTGGTACATGACATCCAGTTTGTAAATGGTTGTGAACTTAATGTGATATCACATCAAAAGCCTGTGATTGTAGCCTGCAATAATGTTGAAAACCGCTGCCGCCCTGTGCATTTTGAGAGATACCAACATCAAATGCCAAGCAATAGGCCCTGCATGTAGCCACAGTTTTGCACTATTTGATGTACTAATTAGTCAATCGGGCTTTTCAAGTATAATCTCAATCAAATAAATGAATAAATGTATCCTACAGAGCTTGCTGAATGGTGCAACTCTGAGTATCTGTCTTCCTGTTTATTAAATGTGTTGGGGGAAAACTCTGTAAAAGACCCAGGAGAAATAAAGACACAATGAGACAAAGTTACTTTCTTTATCAAACGTGTACACGGGTGAGCTGCTAAGAACAACTCACACCATGCACAGTGGCTTGGTAATTTTTATAGGAAAGACAGTGAGAACAGGATAAGAAAATACAAAACAAATAAAATAAACAACTCCATATGTGGCGCTAGTCTCGTCAGCAGAGAGCTGGGAGAAGGCTGTGAGAGATAAAACAATCTAAAACAATATGTCCCAAAACAGTATGTCTTTGCTGAGAAAGTCTAAAAAGATTATTCTAAACTAATCTAACCATAGGCAAAGGGCAGACAAAAGGCATCTTTGTACATTTAAAGAAGGTAAAGAAACATAGAATCATTTTTCCTGTAACATTCCCCCTGTTTAACTTATTTTAAATGTATACAACAATTGTCTATGAAAATTATTTATTAAGTATCTTAGGCAATTTTTAATTTCCAAGAATCTTCAAAATGTCAGCATAGCAGAAATGGCAGTCATTTGGTCTAAAGAATAAAACAAAGGAAAATAATAAAAAGAAAAACATAATAAAACAAAAGAAAATAAAAAGAAAACATAGTAAATGAAATAACAAGTGGAATAAACAAGAAAAATAATAAAACTACAAAAAATAAAGGATAAAAACCTTATATTTTTAAAACGAAAACTTACAAAAAATAAAAGAATGAAAAGTAAAATGAAAACTTTATATTTTAAAAATGATGAAAACCTAATATGTGAAATGAAAACTTCAAAAAATACAAGCATGAAACCTTATACTTAAAATGATGCAAACCTTAAATTGAAAACTTTATGTGTAAAATAATGAAAACTTCATATTTAAAATGGAAACTTTATGTTTAAAACTGAAGACTTCAAAAAATAAAATAAAAGCATGAAAACGTTATATTTAAAATGAAAAACTTTCTGTGCGTTTTCCTTTCTTTCTAAGATTTGTGGTTGCACTTATTTCCTTTAATAAGCTATCTTTGAGCTGTGTTAAAGCTGCGGGGCTGCACGTACCCTCCCACCCAGGACATGACGTCTTTTTAGGATTACGCCATCTCCTTGCGCTGATTTTTCCTGCACCTGGATATTTATTTTCTATCCACTGTTCGTCATTAATAAACTTTTGTGTATACTGCCCATTATTGGCAACAGGTTTAGAGGTTTTATTCCCCATTTTTCAATTTTTATTATTTAGTGTATCTTACTTATGTATTTATTTATTTAGTTTTATTTATTTATTTATACACTGGCAATACAGCTGCTATCCACCTTCGCTGGTATGAGGAATGAGAGTGGTTGTTCACACGCCCTTCTACTTTCGGACTATTTCCAAAAGCGGTGTGAACTTTACGAGGCGGAACTCGACCGTTCTCCCAAGCCACCAGCACTTCAGCGAACAGCAGTGAAAGAAAAACACAGTAGGAGCGGCTCAGTCTCTTATTGGACCGTGAAAATTCAGCTTGCTCCGTTAATTAAAACAATACACACACACACATTCACATTCACAGCTTTGACGCGCGCGACCGGAACCCTTATAATAAGGGGAGCTCCCAGAGCTACTTACTCCCTAGACCCAGTCTAGACCCAGCTGGGGGAGCTACCCAGAGCTCCAAAGCTACCAGTCGACGAGCTCCCAGAGCTACCAGTCGACGAGCTACGCTACCAGTCGACGAGCTTCCAAAGCTACCAGTCGACGAGCTACTTCCGCTATTTTAAATTCCCTGAATTCAAAATGCGCTTTTACGCAAGATTGTGTCAGTGTGTCTGTATCTACCTGGTCAGTGTCGCCGGGTCTGGTCCACCTCGATCGGGCCCACCACCGTGGGTCGCTTTCTAAGAACGTTGGCCAAGACTCGAATTTAACGCCCTTGGTCTTTGACCACACACCTAGTATGTGGGCTGTCGACAGACGAGCAACGTGGACTGGTCACGGAGATGGGACACGATGGAGGCGATCCGGCTCGAAGGACCAAGAAATGTTGGGGGAAAACTCTGTAAAAGACCCAGGAGAAATAAAGACACAATGAGACAAAGTTACTTTCTTTATCAAACGTGTACACGGGTGAGCTGCTAAGAACAACTCACACCATGCACAGTGGCTTGGTAATTTTTATAGGAAAGACAGTGAGAACAGGATAAGAAAATACAAAACAAATAAAATAAACAACTCCATATGTGGCGCTAGTCTCGTCAGCAGAGAGCTGGGAGAAGGCTGTGAGAGATAAAACAATCTAAAACAATATGTCCCAAAACAGTATGTCTTTGCTGAGAAAGTCTAAAAAGATTATTCTAAACTAATCTAACCATATTTGAAAAAGAAAGACCTCTGGTGCAGAACTCCAGTGCAGTCCTTCATCGAGAGCAGAGATCGGGGGAATATCGATAGGATCTGCAGCCGAAATGGTCGACGTCTAATTAATGCCTTCCCAGATAACTTGTGTATCAGTAGTTCAAACATACTGGTACATGACATCCAGTTTGTAAATGGTTGTGAACTTAATGTGATATCACATCAAAAGCCTGTGATTGTAGCCTGCAATAATGTTGAAAACCGCTGCCGCCCTGTGCATTTTGAGAGATACCAACATCAAATGCCAAGCAATAGGCCCTGCATGTAGCCACAGTTTTGCACTATTTGATGTACTAATTAGTCAATCGGGCTTTTCAAGTATAATCTCAATCAAATAAATGAATAAATGTATCCTACAGAGCTTGCTGAATGGTGCAACTCTGAGTATCTGTCTTCATGTTTATTAAATGTAACAGTGAGTTTCTGTTCAAATAATGTGAGTAAATGTTCAGAGTCATTATTGTCAGTCATTGTTTTCATTTTTAGAATGTTGGCTTTATTCTTTGTCAATTTGGTTAAATATTTCAACACAATTAACATAAAGAGTGAATCTTACGCATTTTTGTTGTAATTGGGAAGTCGTCATTACTGGGATTCAGTCTTGTTCTCCAAGTGCTGTGCTATAGCCAGTCTGGCTTCTATCTGGAATCCATTTTTAAGCACATGTAAAACAATTATAAAACAGTTGTCAGCTTTTCTTGTCTTTCAGCTGTTAATACCAACAAATATTTGGGGGGGGGGGGGGGGGGGGGGTTGCAGAGCATGTCTGTAAGACCCAGTGACTATGAGTTATGAGTTTTGCATACAGCGGCATAAATTTGCTTGTCTTGCTGCAGCTGCAGGAACACTGCATTTTCCTCTGTTATAAGCTGTGTTACATGCTTAAGTAAATTATAAATGATGCTTTTCTATTTGTCTCTTTTTCTTTAACCTTTCAGTTTCACTTTTGAGGCACCAAACTTGTTTAGGACATGTCACACGTTGGGACAGCATGGCAGACCACTTAATAATTATGAACATCCTGTTAGTCTTTATTATACAGGAATGTGAACCATTGCTGTTACTTTAAATATCCATACACTTTCTTTTAAGTATCATCAGCTTTATTTCACATTGACCTCTGCTACACTGTAACCTACACTGTTCTTTACTTTAAATCCAACACAGCACAGCTATCTTTTGTTTAAGATAAATTTTTAAATTGGTTCTTTGTTGTAATATTAGCTGTTAGTGTGAATTGTATGAAGCCTCCCATAATCTTTAAATGATCTCCATAGTACTGAAAGTTACAAAGCGGGCACCAAAGATTTCATCTGTTTTTGGTATGTGTCCACCAGGGGTGGGGGAACGCCAGTTCTCAAAGGTCACTGTCCTCCAGGTTTTAGATGCGTCTTTGATCCAACACAGTTGATTTTAAATGGCTGAATAATCTCCTCAACATGTCTTGAAGTTCTTCAGGTAATGAACTAATCATCTGATTCAGGTGTGCTGACCCAGGGTGAGATCCAAAACCTGCAGGTCACCGGCCCATGAGGCCTGGAGTTCCCCACCCCTGGTGTAGACAGTACACTGATTCATCCTTTGAATTAGGTACTTTTTTATGCCTATAATGGCAAATGGACAAAATATAACTTTTTTTTTTTAAATAACTTTTTAAGGAACTGAAAAAGTCAGTTTGATCATGAGAAATCATTCTATCTATAATCTGTAGCTATTATTTCTCTACCGTTGCTCTGTTGTTTTTTTTGTTTTGTTTTTTTTTTCAAAGAAGATACATCATCTATCAATAATCAGCTTATGGTCTGTAGCACAACCATTCCTTCCAATTTAACAACAAACGAACAACAAACGAACACCCCTCCCCACCCCCCCAAAGAAACAAACAAACAAACAAACAAAGAAACAAACAAAAGACAAAGAAACAAAACAAAACATCTGGGAAACACTGTCACTGTCACGGCTGCCGAGGCGAGCCGTGTGGAGTTGGATGAAGGACCCAAGATGCAGGCAGTGGATGAAATGCTGGTGAGGTTTATTTACAAAGGTGTAGTGGCAAACAAATCACATTAGTTAAAGTAATATCACTTTCTCACTTTACCATAGTAAGAGCGCTCCTGAGACCAGTTTACATGCATGTGGAAAGTTAACACAGTGAGGCCATTGTAATGGGAGACACAGATAGTGGGACTCCTTCTGCTTATCAGGGATGTAAATCCTTAGGTGACGGCTAAGCAGAAAACAAGGTCATAATTCTCTCTGTGAGGGAGAAGGTATAGCCCCCCCATGAGAGGGGCCAACATGTGAGTTTGTGCTATGTTCTTTGTCTGTGTGTCTGTATATAAGATGTAAGGGCGGTAGCCACAATTTAGAGATGGTCCTGGTGTTTCACTGGGATGCTCTCTCCACATTGCAGTGTTTATTAAACCCACTTCAAATTAAGCTCACTGGCTGTGTTGCAGGTTATTGTTAAATTTTCCACAACAATTTGGCGTTGTCGAGCAAGGTTCCTCCGGTGAGTTTCGCTGAATCATGGGCACGCTGTGACTGGCCATCTTGAGGTAAATTGCCTCAGTCCCACCGTTGTTTTCAAAAAGGGAGAACTGC